CCTTGAGATTCCACAACAGCAAATGTGTAGAGCAGTGGACACTCTGCCTTGTTCAGATAAGGGGATCCCTTTATCATGATGCACAAATCCAGGCCCTCTCATTTCTTCAAATTAGGGTGTGCTTGTGCCTTTTCCCCCCCTCTCTACTTTTATCTCACAGTTACTTCTTTTTCTTTCACACCAACAACATCGTCTCATATACCCTCTCCTGTGCCCTCGGTCCATGAACCCTTATGGATTCCCTGCTCAGATTCAGTCTCATGTTTGTTTGTTTTCCCATCCTGTGGGCCTCTCAAGTTTTTGTATTTTGCTCCACAAGAATGAAATACAGAGAGATAGTTGTTATGTGCACCTGGCAGGATAATGCAGAGCCTTCTTTTATCAAGAAGAGAGGAACTGGGCAGTTGAACTCCAGGAAACCCATAGGGGCTGTGCCCCTAGGGATGGCATGTAAGTGCTCCTCCAGTGACCTATAGCATATGGCAAACATTCAGAGAGATTCCATGTTCTACATTGTCGGGCTCAGTGAATGGAGACTACATTTTTGTTGCAAAATTAGTTTAGTTGCAAAATTTAGTTTAGTTGCAAAATTACATTATTTTTCAGAAATACTCTTTCTGGAGGCCTTTGGGTCAGAGTAAATTTGAAAAGATGAAAAAAAAAAGCCCATCCATGCAGCCACCAGTCTTCAATCTTGTGGAGAAGGCAGATGCGTAAAGAGATCGATTTACCTCCATTGAATTGAATATAAGTAAATAACAATGCTTTGGATCTAGATGTACACAAGGGCTTGTGTAGAACTTTGCTTAAAAGATTATAGAGCATGGAAAATGCCACCACATGAGTATTCAGGGCTTGGCATGAAGAGAAATAAGGAAAGCATCCAGGCTGGAGTGAAGAGTCAGCCTTTAGCAACTTTGTGCAAGGTCAAAGCAGCCTAAGCCCTGACTGGGCTGCATGCTGGGAGCCACACAAGGTGAACTTGACAGGCAGGGGAAAGCTCAACCACCTGAAATCCAGCTGGGGGAGCCTGCTCCTCAGATGGTGGAGGCCTGGGGGCTGGCTCTGTGGGCTGGTGGTGGAGGGGTGGGGTGAGTGCTGTTCAGAATAAATAACTATTTTCCAAGATGATGGTATTGGTAGTTTTTGATATTACATGAACTCTTGCTCCCGAAATTCCATGTTTATGGTTAATGTGTGACGTTACTTGGTTGCAGAGGAGAAATTTTATTCTTTATTCATTTAAATCTATGTAATTCTGCGGTTCTCAACGCAGAGTTCAGAGACTGCTGGATGTCCCCAAGATGCTTTTACAGAGATAGTACTCTTTTAATCAAATGAGGAGGTACAGGGGAAAGAAGTGGATGAAGGGATGTTATGTGCATGTGTGCATATGTCACCACAAACCCACCTTTCTGCATAATTATTATACACCAATACAAAGTCAAACACTCACTTTATTTTGCCAGGTCCCTTTCATTGTCTTGTAAGTATTATGCAAAGTTTCCAGAGGATGTCAATATGTCAACCAAGAATCATATATGAGAATCTAACTGTGTACTAGTGAGGTTCATATAAATGAAGCCTGCAAAAATCTAAACAATTGTACACTTAACACACATTGTGTTGTTGTTTGGGACCATATAACTATTTCTACAAATAGATGCAATTTTATTCAAAGCATCAATTTATTATTCTTATGCTTAAAGGAATATTTACTCATTTTTCCATTTTAATTTGGAATGTGCTACATATTGATAGACATAACCGATATAAACAAAAGCAGGTTGATTCTTCAATGACTTTTAAGAACATCAGGGGTTCTGAAGACCAAGAATTATGAAAGTTTTTAATGTATATGGAGACATATTATGCATATTTGTGTAAGTGCATATGTCTGGATAACACGAATAACTTTCCTCTTCCTAGTTCTCACACTCAATGTTCAGTATTCACAAGAAGCAAGAAGGGGTGAAAGGAGGTAAAAGTTGATATGAGAGTATCTCATGAAGGCCTTTTGTAAAGGAACACCTGTGCAGGGAGACTTGTGGAGGAGGCGCACAAAGGACAGACACAGACACACAGGGAAGGTGCAGACAGACAGTAGGATGGCAGACAAAAGAATGCTCACCCCTCTCTGCCATCGTCTTTATTAACCCAAAAGTTTACATATTACCCACCACCAGTGATGACACTTTGACCAGTATTCCTTTCACCCTAAGTGCTGGCTGAGATAAGGTCCAGGTTAATGCAAACACAGAGCCTCTCTCCTTCAGAGGATGTCACTATGTAAACCAGGTGGTGCATCCGCCTAGTTATCTTAATAGCCTCTCCTTTCACTCATGGGAATCAGGGCGCCAGTTACCCACCAGGAGTTTGCTCACCAGGGAAACGCTTCCCTGTCTATTTCCAAGGTCAGAATACCTACACCCTTTCCAAAGGGACATTGGAGGAAAGACCAAGGAAGGAAGCGATATTGAAGGAGAGTAAAAAGGGGTTTAAGAAAACCTCTAGCCGGCCACCCGCGCTGGCTTCATGAAAGAAGGTTCGATTCATGAGAAAACACTAGGGAGTTTTAAATTAAAGAGACAAGATTCTAATTACCTTTAAAACTAGCTCCAGGACTGCTCTTCCCAGCTCCAGCCTCCAGCCACCTAATGCGGTAGCAAGGTTTCTAGAAGAGACTAGTGAGAGAGAGAGAACACGCCAGGGAGTGGGCTTTTATTGGGGAACAAAAAATTCTGGGGAAAATCCATCCAATGAAGATTAAGGGGGGCAGCATCCCAAGGTCAGGGGCGACAATCAGGTCTTCGGGACAGTGGCTGCACGGACAAGCCCTCGGACCTGGAGAAGGGTCCCACATAAGCCATGAGAAGCAGGGCTCTGACACAGCTGCGTCTGAGCGCCTCTCACCCAGCCAGGGAGGTAACTCAAATCACGTGCGAGGATGGCCTCCCACAAAAACCTACCGAGCACTGCATATTTCCGTGTGTTAAAATGCAGGTAACGTTGTTTTAAACACACTTTGGGGTGTTGAATTGTGTGCTTTTCCCTAAATCTGCTCAGAGACAGGTAAAGTAGGAAATCAGGGTCAATTGCGTGAGGCCTTTCTGAATCGCTGCTCTTGTCCTCAGCACACATGAATGTCTTCTTCTTTCTACCTATTTTTATATGATCTCAGTGGTTTCCACGCTTGTGATTCATTAGTATTACATCTCAGTCCAACATAGCTTTTCCCTCAGAGGTGATGGACACAAGACGCCCCGGAGTTTCCAGGGGGCCAGGGGAATTGGTTCCCCAGGGTGTAGGGAACAGGGGTGTGCCCTGGGGAGACTGTAAATCAAAATATTGATAAAACACATCTGCTTTCTCTTGTAGCCACGGGCTGGATTTTCTAAATAACATCAGTGATAATCTTCTCCCCCCTGGAGAAAATATAGGTCTGTCCTGTATAATTGTGACCATGACCCTGAGCTGAAGCAGGCCCCTCCTGGCCCTCAGTCCTGCTATGGTCCTGGCCCACAAAGCCACTCAGGATCCCAGCATCCTGTCATGAGTGGCTCCTGACACTGAGTGCCTGAGGACCAGGGAAACGCTGCATGAGATGTCCAAAGAAAGAGGCGGCAGAGAGGAAGGAGGTTCTATGGGCCACATCTGGACATGATGTTTGTCACCTCCCTGACTTCTATTAGCCAGAACTCACCCACCACCTGGCCACAACCCCTGGATACTATGGTCTCCGGTATAGATGCACAAGTAAAGAGCCCTCTAGATTCTATTTTTATTGTGTTGGGTGTCTGGAGCACACATTATTAGAAACTGCTGACCTGCGTGAGCTCACACTTCATTTCTTTTTTCAGGATGTCCTCAGCAGGAACCTGAAAACACCTTGGTGACAATGACCCTTCCCAGGCGATTGGCAGCCTATTCCCTTATCCTGGGAAAAGCGGCTGAATTCAGGTGCCACTTCTACCTCCACCAGATGCAGCATTTGCCTAATCCATGCACGTGTGTTAAAGTGGAGGCAGAACGTCTGGACACAGACCTCCATCTCTTCCACCCCAGCTGGCCCCTCCTCTTTCTGTGGCTGTTCCTGAGCTCTGTGTGGGAGGGAGGAGCACCCTCGCCACGGAGTCTTTCCTGTTCTCCTCTTTCCTGAACCATAAGCCATGAGAAGCAGGGCTCCAGGTGGACGTGAGGACAGTGGTGGCTACGGGAGTCTGAGCAGGAGCTGAGCTCGGAATCCAGCAGCCTATATGTACTGGTCATTAGATAAAATAGTCATTGCCGTACCTTTGAGTTTTTTGTTTTGAACACTCCATCGTCCATGCTGTTGCATAACCGTGGTCCACCCTGTTTAATGAGAACTCAGTGAAAAGGCCCAAGGTTTCCTAACACGGTGCTAACAAACCTGGTTCCTTAGAAGTATATTTAAAATTCCTTAAGTATATAGAAAAGGGTCAGATAATATTTTTCTGGGTCATGTCACAAAATGTTTAGGAATTACACTTTTTTCTCTTGGCTTTTTTGCAGAGAAGAGTCTTGTGCATTCTTTTTATCACCCCCATATTTTATAGACGTATTCCCTTGATCTTGTATCCTAACCATTCCTATCTGCCTGTCCTCTGTCAGTGAGAGGGCAGGAAAAGCCCTTCCCCAGGGACAGTCCCCATACTTGGGCAGACAGTAAGGAACAAAGCACTTTTCAGAAGTGTCAACCCACAGACAGGAGATCTTCATGAATCGTGTATGAATCAATTGTGTATGAGTGTGTGTGAGCGTGCCTGAGAGTGCTCAGGTGTATGTGTGCAGAGTGTTTCTTTGAAAAACCTCATATTTTAAAAATTTATTCTATTTAGTTATGTACAGCACCCGATACACACTGACGTAATCACAAAAGCATGGAACACAACCCACTCCAATTCAGTCTCCATCCTAGTGTGCCCCCCGCTCCACTCCAGCCAGAAAACCTCCCATGTTAAGTGAGAACAAAAAGAAGCTTTATATTTGCAGGAAAGTTTATTGAAATGAAATTGCATTTAAGATTTCAATGAGTGTCTTGCCGTCACAGGTACAGGAACGAAAATAGGAAAGAACAGAAGAGCATCGGTCGTCGCTTTATCACCGTCTCCAGTAGTTCTCTGAGCCAAAGGACTGGAGGAAACTTAGAAAGCTCTGCAGTATTTACTGCCATATATTGATTCCTGGAAAACAAAGGCAGGGACTTCAATTAGCTTTTCAACTCTGTCCTGCAAAGTCAAATACGCAAAACCGAAACATCCACTTGTTATCTACCTTAGTTTTTCAAGAACCATCAAGCCTTTCATAAAATCCAGGAAGCAAGACGAGAGTACCTGTTCGTGTGCTCTATTGTTCAGGAGACACTGATTGATACCAGAGAACTGCTGCTATTTCTGAATCATTTCTCCAAGAGGCATATTGAACGTTGTTCTTGGAAACAACTTTCCACTTAATGTGCCACAGGTATTATGTATTGCAGACACAATTTGATCTGTGCGCACACCACTCTTCCACACTGAACTGTTAAAATCTCTGCTCAGGTAACTCGGGTGACTTGTTGAGTTTCCCTCTGGTCTGAGAAGTGAAACTACTGAAAAGAAGCTGAGGACCTCCACTGTTCCTTTGGTGCTCCATGAAATGCTGGAGCGCCAGAGTGTGAATGATTCACCTAACAGTGCTTAGATGAAAAGCAATCCCACTACCCTCAAATGCACTTGGTATTCAACCTGCCCTCCGTCTTTTGATATATTCCTACGTTCTCTACCATGCAATGCTTCAAAGAGAATGTTGATATATGCAATAAATGCTAAAAAGCATCAGGAGTTTGTCATTAGAAAGAAACACTCATTGCTTATGTCATTGATTCTTATTTTAAACAATCCATCCCCCATGGTGTCTCGTACCTGGGATTTATACTTGTTTTTCTCAGCTGCTAAATAAAAAGTTTCAAGATTTCCACACACCGATGATAACAAATTTTGGTTGTGGAGAAGTGCATTTTAAATAATTAAGAGTAGGAACATAAAATATTACTCAAATGTTATGGAATCCTCCAACAATGCTTATGAACTCATTGTTTTTTCACTATTTGCTGTTTTGCAAGAGGGAACCTGTATTTGTGGCTTACTTGCAAAGGTGAGGGCATTCTAAGAACCAGATTTTTTTCTTTTTTAGAAAATATCTCTGTGTGAGTGTGTGTGTGTGTGTGTGTCTTGGGTAATTGAAAGGTACATAAGCAATCTCTGAGGTTGTTTTTGCATTTTCTAGTTATTAGTCCCTGATGATTTTCAAAGAAAGTTGGTAAATTATCTTTCAGATTTTGAAAGGTTTTCTTGAAGGTCAAAGATTCATTAACACCCCTTAAATACAGAGTATTTTTTTTAAAAAGCACTGCGCCAACAGCTTTGATTTTATTAAAATAACAAGATCAGAGACTGCTGTTCCCAGTCAGCGATTTCACAAACCTAGAACCCCAACTTACCATCATCAGTTGAACGTTGCCCAGAGTTTCATCGGACTGGTTGAGAAAACATTGTTTGAATTGCTCCACGGCCTTTATGTCTGCATCACTGTACAAAAACTCCTGGAGGGCAGCCTTGTATTCTTCTAGGGTTACTTTAGGATCAATGGCCTCTGAAATAACGTCCTCGAGAAGTTGGCAGCCAGCGCCTGGGAAGAAAACATCAGAACTTGGCTCATGACTGGCGGTGTGACCCCGTGAGGGGGAGTACCTGTGATGTCCGTCACCTGTGAACATCCCAGGAGATACGTGGACTCAGAGAGCTCCCAGTTCTAGGACAGGGAGTTCCCTACAGGCTCTGAGGTTCCCTACAGGCCCTCCCCTCAGGAACCCTGGAGAAGGTAAACCCTGTGCCAACATGGTTCTCAGTCCTTCAAAGGGGAGAAAGTCCAGTATGTAGCACTTACTGCACAGAGAGCTCTTTCTGAATTCAACATCATGCCACGCGACACTAATAGGTTTTTCAAGAGTCCTAGAATTGTTGGGTTTAAAATACTTGCCATTACCGTGTTCACTCTATCTCTACTCTGCATCAATAAGCAACATAAAAAACAACTTGTACATGAAGCGATCTCACGTGGCCAACCTGTGTGTGGGGGGGGAAGCTTAGCACTTGCCTCCACCTGAGCTGCTCGTGCCCTGGGCTCTGCAATTCTTTAGTTTCTTTAGCACAGCACCTCTTCCCCATTATGCCCCCACTTTGGGAACAAGGTAGACCGCATCAACAAGGTTGGAAGCTGGAAAAACACACCACACACATCGCATATGTGTGCCCACCCCATTCTGAGGGCAACTGGGAGCTACAGGGCCCCCTGGAAGGGCGAGGCTAGCCCTGCACAGGTCTGCAGTGTAGCTCCAGGTTGCCTGGTGCGGGGTCCCGTGCCGCAGCCTGAGCCTGCCCTCCTGCAGGGCTGCCTTTTCCTTCCATATTTAAGATGATACATGATGCCTCCTTTCGGGAACCCACTGGGTCTAATGCCATAGGGCCATGAATCATCTTCCCTTTGTCCCTCTGAAATGTCTAATTGGAATATTCAACACTGAGGCTTACATTTGTCTTCACTGTCGCTGGGACCAAAGTGGGACAGCTGGATTGGTCCTGACACACGAGGTCGTAAAGCAGGGATAAAGGCCTCGAGAGAGCTGCCTCTTTGGTTGTCTGGAGTAATGTTGAATTTTAGGGCCATTAAACCCAGACCTTTTGTACCAGGGATGACCTGGGGACCAGGACTCCTCCCCAGGGCCCTGGCTGCCCCCTGGCCACAGGCGGCCCTCCCTGCACAGAGCTCACCTGCAGAGCAGTAAAGGGGGAGGGCAGCCAGCAGGAGGACGGCGAGCAGCTTCATGGCGAGGTGGCTCCTGGTGGCTGTTCCCGAGGGGGGGCAGGATCAAGGAGTTCACTGTGGGCTGAGTGGCCACAGCTCCTCTCTTTATTCCCCAGGGAGCTGCCTTAGTCCCTCCCAAGAACGAGGGAGGGAGGGACAGGATCCACCGGGGATTGGACCAGGGAACCACAGCCTGTGCCAAGGGGAAGCAGCCAGGCTCTGATGGCTTTGCCCAAACCAGCGGGCAGTCATGACACGTGGCCATAGGCAAGAGGGAGGAGGATGTGTTTTCTAAATGATAAGCAAAATACAACAAGCAGTCTTACATCGTCAACCTTATTTGTTCACCCTGTATTTCTCCATCCCTTTTCCTACTCCTTCTGTTGTAGGGACAAATGAGGCCAGGCACAGAAGACAGCAGGAAACAGTTTTATTTGGCTGCAGCCAGGTTCAGAGGGCACAGCTTTTGCTGTATTCAATTAATCCCTTGAACCCCGAGTTTAGGGAGTTTCAGAATTTTATACCCAGTGTGTAAGGGGAGGGGCTCAGAAGTTCACAGTCTGCAGAAATTCACATAAAAGCAGATTTTTCTTTCACTGTTCTGGGCAAGTTAACCCTTCAAGGACAACACCTGAGAAGGGGAGAGCTTCTTCTCCCCTTTCTTTCCTCCCCCTGCCAGCTGTTACCATGGGCCCATTTGTAACTTATCTTAAAAATGTAGACATCTCTGTGAAGCCCAGCCCAAGGCCAGAGGCCTTGTTTGCACATTTCTTCAAAGTAGTATACTGGATACATTTGTGAAAACTAGTAAGGGGGTGTCCAGCACCTGGAGTCCTGGTATCTTCCTGGCCAGTGGCCAAGTAAACAGGGTGACATGAAAATAGGAAGTTTATCTACATTGGACTCTTTTGCTGACAGTCCTAAAATCAGGCATGGTGAAGAGGGCTTTTCTGGGGAGAAAGGGGGTGCCCCTTCACTTCATCTCCTCTCTTTTCACATGCTGATCTTTGTTTGCTTTATCTTCTTCTTCGAAGGGAGAACAGCTTTGTTACTTGTATGCGTGGTCCTGCTCGTATCACACAGCTGGGGTGGCTACAGTACTGCAGATGTTCAAAACCCCAATGTGACGTGTAATTACATGACGACGTTCAAAGATGTTGAGTAGCGGATGGTACGCAGGCATACAGCACTTCCTGGATGGCAGGCCCTCTCCTAAGTCTCCTTCACCTTTACCATGGCAACCTCTGTGTGGGAGCCATGGACCTTATTCCCCAACCTGGGCATTTTAGGAGTTGAACAGATGCACTAAGTGGATGGGATGCCAGGACTGAAGAGGAGCCTGGACCATCCTGAGCTATCTGGATGTCCCCACCTGCCTAAAGGTCGTTTTCTCTCAGCTTCAGAGAATGATGCACAAGGACATTTAGTAAAATTTCAGGGCTCGATTAGTAATGAGCACAACCAGGACATGAATCCTGAACTGTGAGCTTCAGAGAAGGCTCTTGGTTCCTGCTTCCCTTGGCCCCCAGGGACATCCCAGCACAGCTCAGGTGTTCCCCTGAGGCCCTGACTCCACAGCTGCATCCCAGGAACCCTGGGTTAATTTTCGTGCAAGCCCCACAGTTTCCTGCTTGAGGCCTCTGCTGCCTGTGGGCTCCCCTCTGCTCCCTGTGGGCTCCCCTCTGCTGCCTCAGTCACTCAGGGTTGAAGCACCTCATTCATTGCCTCGGCCACAGGGAGGACAGCCCATGTCTGTGCCCTACCTTGTCTCTGCATCTCGAGGGCCATCCTGGTTCCCAGGACCCCTGGTTCTCCATGAGCAGCTCTCCTCCAACACAGAATTCTCATCACTGACCAATTGTCCCTTTTCTTGCTCCTGAGGACATGACCCTTGTTCTCCTTGAAGGACTGACATGGAGAATAAATAATTCTAAATAATTATTTAGTAAACAATTACACATAATTGAGTGGTTGGCTGTGGGCACACAATTCAACTCCTTAAGCAAACATCTCACTGATTGATTACAGGCTTCATCACTGTGTTTACAAAGGGGAGCAGAGAAGTTGGTAGTTAAGGCCAGCATCAGGCCTGACTTTAAAGATCAGGACCAATTCCTGGGCCCTGGCTCACCACTGTATCTGTCCTACATGAAAATGTTTATCCAGGAGGGAGGAAGCATGTGATCTTCTTCTTCACAGGCAGTGATCAACTCCCTGCCACTCTAGGTCACCTCAGTGTTCTCCCAAGAGGGTCCTTACAATGTGATCTAACCTTCATCCATCTGGGACCAGGACCCAGATTTGGAAGCACAGCCAGAGTGAGTTGCCGGCCACTGACTAACTCTCCTTGACTGTCCCTCCTAAATCCTAAACTTGGCACACCTTCACATGGCTGGGTAAGGGTGGTTTAAGTTTCATCCCTGCACCCAGGTGACCTCTGACTTGGTGTGTGGGTCTCCTCCACCAACACCTGCTCCAGTGGTTCCTGTGTTGTTTCCTTGGCAAGGCCAACAGTGTCCTGCTATTGAATTTTTCCACATTTGTGACCCTTTTCTCTTTGGGGGCTTTAGAAATGGTACATAGTGAAATTTCCATAAGTCTTTCCTCTGCTAATTAGAGAGTCTCAGATGGGGGTAGTTTTATTTCCCTGTTATCCAAAAAGCCAGTGAGTTTTAGACCTAGAATTTTGTGACTGCATTGACACATGGCCTTAGGTAAAAGGTTTCTGATCGTGTTTTACAAAGAAGAAAACCAACAGCGTGAGCTCCTGTCAACTCTGAACTGATGACTAGTGTGTCTTCTATTCCTGTTCTCGTTTGTCCTCCTCTTTACCTCTTCCTAACCTCTGCTTTTCCACTTTTTCTCTTCTGTCTTCTCCAGGGTGCAAGAGGTTCATCCCCTTTGTGCAAGGGTCAGTGCAATGCTGCAATCATCCTCTGGGTGACAGCCTTCCTTACCCATAGACATCTCTTTTTGAAAGCTGCTTTAAGGTTGGGAGAGGACCTCATTTTTTTTAACACTCTTTTTTTCATATTTATTTTTTAGTTGTAGTTGGACACAATATCTTTATTTTATTTATTTTTATATGGTGCTGAGGATCAAACCCAGGGCCTCATATGTGCTAGGCGAGCATTCTACCACTGAGCCACAATCCCAGCCCAGGAGAGGACCTCGTACTAGGGAAGTCTTCGTGCAAGGTTTTCATTTAATTGATTACAGGAATTACCTCACCAATTCAGCTCTACAAATTTACTGTATTACAAATCTATGAATTAATTTATTTTTCCTTCTTGGAGATTTAGGATTTTTCTTCTATTAGAGTCAAAGGTGTTGCAAGTCAACAGATTGTCAGGCAGACAGTGTTGGATGGCAGGTGATGATGGGATTGGGTCTCATGCATTTGTGCTTTTGGACCCACGCCCTGATGTGTCTTCTGTTGGTTACAGCACTGGTCTCTCTGAGCTTCCTTTTTCTCTTTTGTAAAATGGGAGCGATGATAACGTGCTGAGGTTTTGTAAGAATGCTCTAGGTAAAGCATCCATCCCACGGGCTAGAACAAGATACTCATGACTGAATGGTTCCCCTCTAGGTGGATTTTACATCTGATCATCCATGCATCCCATCATATGTCCATCCGTCATGTAGTGCATGCTCCTTTGAGCCTCCCTATGACCTTGAGCTATGTGCTATAGATTCATTTGTAGGAACAACTTAGTCCAGGCCTTTCCACTTGGGAGTTGGATTCTACTGAGGAAGACCATGAATATACTTAAGAATAAATGAACGATATGAGAAAGTAGTCATTGCTGCAAAGGTTAAAACATAACCAGAAAATCAGAATGAGGTTACAGATGCCTGATGAGGGTCAGTGTCCTTGAAGCATTTCAGGGCAGCGTGAGGGAGGAGATGACATTGTAGGTGAGACGTGAATGAGTGGACACAACAGCTGAAGTCAGCCCTTGGGGACTGACCTAGTCAGAGGGAAAAGCAACTTCAGAGGCCTGAGGGAACATGGTACTTTTCCAGGTAGAAAAAGGCAAGGCGACGGGTGTCTTGGAATCAAGAGAAAGACAAGGTAAACTCTAATGCTTCAAAGTCCAATCCAGTTCAATTAAGGGCAAAGCGAAGAGGATTGTAACAAAGGAAATAGAAACTGGCTTGTATTTTTTAAAAAGAAGTAGAAGAAATGAATGGAAATGCCTGAAGATGAGCCCATTTTTAATTACCCATGAATGCTTTATTTGCTGTGTGGATTACTTGTGACATTGCTCTTTTCACCATTCAGCTGAGGCATACTATGCCAAGGGGCAAAACAGGCTTAGGCGGTGGCAGGAAGCAGAATCCTGTGCTTTCTGTATGTACTTTGAGCCATTTGCGCAAGGCTGGAGTCCTTCAATCCAAAGTCAAGCCAAAGACTTTTACAGGCAATGGGACATTGTTATCTTGCCTTGGGCTTCATGGGGCTCCTCCTGGCACCCCACTTGTCCTGGACCTGCCTTGTCACCTGCTGAGCCAGCAGCCCTATCCGAGATTTCATTCATCCTTAAAATACCCCACATCAGGCCCACACACTCAAGCGATTGTGTGTTCTTTCACTCCCAGGCTTTATTTGGACATCCGATGGTGATCATTCACTCAGCAATCAATAGTAACTCAGCCTGTAACAAGAACTGAGAGTCTTCATTTTTCCTGCAAACGTTCAATGGGTAGCTAAATGTGGGCAAAGACTTGGCATTTTGCATCCATCTTTATCTTGGACCCCAGGAAGAAGGTCTATGCTGACAAACACCTTGAACTTTTTTACATGACAGTCCTGACCTGACCAATCCTGAGACTGTGAGGGATAGACCACACCTAATCAGCACAACCAGCTTGGCAGCTGTGAAAAGCACACAGGTGGCAAACCCTCTGCACCTTGCCCTCATTCCCTTACTATACAATCTTAAGGTCACTGTCACTTCCTGGAAGTACGGGTTAAGGGCATGGGTCCCTTTGTTGTCCTAGCATAGATAGCTGAACTGTTCCAACTGCGTTCATACTTTTCACCATGCGCTTTTGAAGCAAGAGGCCAGATCTGATTTACTGAATTTCCAGAGTCAGGCTTC